ATGACGTGAAGCAGTTTGTTCCCTTTCGGGGTCCCGAGGACAGAGACAAACCCAAGTCTAATCAATTTTAGTCTGTCCTTATTGCCCCCGCGGTCCAATTTGCCAGCATGGGTGCCTACTATAGAGGCGCCCTTCTAGTTGCTCGGAAACGAGCCTTACATTTCACGCCTGGCAACGAGCCGGCTTTGTATGACTCAGGCTCTTTGCCTTAATACACATTTGCTCGGTCAGGTATGGCCTGTTTGGCTTACTTCTAACTGAGCCGATAGCCCTTCATCGTTCAAAGGGGCTATCCTGTATTTGCGTGAAATGCTTTGCGAGGAAACTCGCCTTACAGTCTGGTGTTAGGCCAGACTGTACGCACTGTTTTCTTTCTTGCAAACAGTCGTGCGCGCGGCCTTTGAAAAGCCTAACGGCTGCGCGGCTATGCTCTCCGTCTCCTCCCCTCTCGACTTTAAGGGTAGCTCTTTGGGAGATGTTATAGTATCGGGAGCATAGCTCGCGCGCCGTTGCCTTTGGCTCAAGGCACGCGCGCCCTATTTGCCCGGATACCTGATGGTATTCGCTATTTGCCCGGACACTTACCTTAGTGTTCGCTATGTGCTGGAAAGGCCGATACATCGATCTTATCCTATCATACCCGCCCATTCCCCATACTGAACCACCGCAGCAGAGGAATGGACGCTATCTGCCATTCGATTCCCATGGGAGCGGATGCTATTTGAGTTACCAGGCTCATTTTCGACTTCCAGGGCTGGGTTTCTTGTGGAAGGTTGCTTGTGTTCGTGCCCCCACTGTTTTCGGCAGTCCGGGGGCAGATTGTACCATCGTGGAGCTTTCTGGGGCGGAGCTGCCCTTGCGTGCCACATCTTCTGGGTGGCGTCGCGATCGGCCGAGCCCCATTCTGGCACCTTCAACAATGACAAACACACAGACGAACACAGACACACGCACACACACAGACAGACACACACACACACAGACACACAGACACACACACAGACACACGCACACACAGACACACGCATGTACACACATGCACACACATGCACACATGCACGCACGCACACGCACACGCACACGCACACGCACACGCACACGCACACACACACATACACACACACACACACTCTTTTTTGCGTCGGCGGCTAGACGGGGTGACTGCGCTGGCGTGAAGGATTAGTGTCTCTCACACACGCATACACACACCTAAAAACTGGCATGCCGTGCACCCCTTTGGCAAGCCAGCAGGGGGCGGCGAGTCGCAGACGCCCACGGCGAATCACCGCCGCCCCCTGCCGTTGTGAAGCGCCCATGCGGCCGAACGTTGGGCCGACGTCTGGCCAAGTTATTTGACTATGTGTTCCCCAGTCTCTGTGGAAACTCTTTGGGTAACAAAAAGGGGGGAGGAACAAGGATGAGGGAGGAGCAAGAGGAGGCGGAGGAGGAGAAGGAGGATAATAATAAAGAGGACTCTTGGAAGCGTTTGGAGCATTCTCGGGGCCTCCTGGGCGCCTCCTGGGCGCCTCCTGAAGGCCTCATTGGGCCTGGGGCCTTCGGACGCTAAGGTTGAGGCTCTTTGACCGTCTGGAGGTGTTCCTGGCCCGTCCGACGCTGTCGGACGCCGTCTTCGGGGCCTCTCTGAATCGACTTGGAGCCCTCTTGGGGCGTATCAGGGCCGCCTCAGAGACCATCTAGGGAGTCTTGGAGGAGGCCTCTTGGACAGTCGTGGTGCCCTTTTGGGGCCGTTTTGGGCATCTGAGATGCCCTTTGGGGCGATCGTTGGGGCCCACTGGGCCGTCTTGGACCGTCGGGAGGCCGAAACGAAGCAACTACCAACATCGTCAAGAAACCTTCAGACAAATCAATCATGTTGGCCTCTTCGGGCCTTCCTGGATGTCCCCTTGGAGGCCTCTTGGGCCGTCTTGGAGGCCTCGTGGGCCTCTTGGGCCAGCTTCGGGACCATTTTGTGCCGTCTTGGGTTGCGGCACATATTGGGCCATCTTGGGACGGCCATTACTCCCGTTTTGGAGGCCTTTTGGCAGTCTTGGAGGCCATCTTCTGGCCGTCTTGCGTGGGCAGACTGATGGGATACGACTGTTTGGCAGGCAGGTTGGGCCGACGGCCCATTGGAAACCTTGAACTACCTTGGCGAAGGACCCAACCATGTGCAGTAGTGAGTAACGCAGTAGTGGGTATCGTCCTCGGTGAACCTCTCTAGGGGACCACGGCGCGTGTGACGGGTTTGCCAAAATGGGCTCGGGTACGCCGTGCGGGAATTGCCACTGGAGCCGTCGGTGGAGCCCCCTGTGGGGCCACGGAACGTATGAGGGGTGCGCCGAAATGCGGGGAGGAATTGCACGCGTGCGTTGCCATTGGGGCGTTCGGTGGAGCTCCGCATGGCGCCACGAAACGTGTGAGGGGTGCGCCGAAATCTGGGGTAGAAACCGCACGCGGGCGCTGCCACAGGGGCCTTCGGTGGAGCTCCTAGTGGGGCCACAAAGCGTGTGAGGGGTGCGCTGACATGGGGGGGTGGAACTTCACGCGGGCGCTGCCACTGGGGTCTTCGGTGGTGCCCCCTATAGGGCCACGGAACGTGTGAGGGGAACGCCGAAGTTCAGGGTGGAACCGCATGCGGGCGCTGCCACTGGGGCGTTCGGTGGAACTCCACATGGCGCCACGAAGCATCTGAGGGGTGCGCCGAAATCTGGGGTAGAAATGCATGCGGGCGCTGCCACTGTGGCCTTCGGTGGAGCTCCTTATTGGGCCACGAAGTGTGTGAGGGGTGTACCGAAATAGACATGCGGAGGGCAGAGGCAGGGATGGGAAGAGGGCGGAGGGAGCTGGAGGCAAAGAAAGGAGAACGCGGGGTGCTGTCTTCAAAACTAGGACCCCACACCATAGGATAGTTGGGGTAAAGCAAACAACACCCAAATGCCCAGCACACCGTACACCCCTGTGGCAAGCCAACAGGGGCCAGTGGAATCAAAGACGCCTAGGACGAATCACCGCCGCCCCCTGCCTTTATGGAGAAGCGCCTATGTGGCCGAACGTTGTGGCCAGAGCTCGGCCAAGCTATCAGAACATGTGTTCCCCCGGCCGTTGTGGAAGCGCTTCGGGGAACATGGGAGGGAGAAAGAAACAGAGGAGGAGAGATCTCGTCGGGCGTTCCTGGAGGTACTCTCGGAGGCCTCTTGGGGGCCTCTTGGGCCATTTCGGGCCATCTTGGGTCCATCTTGGGCAGTCCTGGATGCATCTTGGGCCGTCTTGGAGACATCTTGGGGCCATCTTGGTTTCTTGGGGTCATCGTAGCCATCTTCGAGACAATTTTTGCCGTTCTGGAGGTCATCTTGGGGCCGCCTGGAGCGGAAGGCCGATGACTGCGAAATGTACGGGTTCGTCTGGAGCGGGAAGACCGAAGCTTTGGAAAGTCCACGGGCCCTTATTCCGTGCCGGCGGTTTGGGCCGGAGGCCCACTATAACTCTTTCAAAGAACAGAAAACGACCGAATTTTCAGTACGCCGTGCACCCCTGAGGCAAGCCACAGGGGTCGGCGGATTTAGCGGCCTTCGGCCATTTCCGCCAGCGTGCTTGGGTTGTCGTCAGAGGCCCCATTTGATGCCCGCGAGGATCCATTATGAGACGTTTCGGGAGTTCGGAAGTCTCTTGGAGGCGGTTCTGGAGGTGCTTTGGGGGGTCTCGGGTGCTTCTCTCAGGGCCTCTTGGGGGCACCTCGGGGTCCTCTGGAGGGGTATTGGAGCCATCTTGGGGCGGAGGGCTCAAAATGTCAAGTCGTGTTCCCCCTCGTGGGCCCCTCTTGGGGATATGCTGCGGGCCTCTTGGGCCCCTCTCGGGGGGCTCTTGGGCCGTTCGGAGGCGATCTTGGGCGCCTCTTGACTTGGACGCTCTGCAGACCAAGAAGGCGGCACTGCTAAAACCATACGAAAACAAATGGAATTTGACGACTGTCTCTTGGGCCGCCCTCCAGGGCCTCCAAGACGTGTCAGGAGGCGCCCAAGATGGCACCAGAACGGTCCTCAAGGCCATCTTCGGCAATTTTGGACATGCATGTCCGGAACAGCGCACTCTTGGCCTGTGGACATGTCGCACGAAGAACCCCAAAGAGCGCCCGGGAGCGCGCCGGACCGCACGGAACTCCAGGCTGTTGTCCCTTGAAAGCATTGCCTGGGGACGCTCCAACTCCTTCCATCAGGGCACGGTGGCGGATCTTGGCGGCGCGCTCGAGGGAGTAGGAGGAGCGGGGGAGGCTCCTTACAAGGCTGGTCAGGAGGCGTCGGCACTACATCAAAGATAAGGCCCGGGCCTTCTAAGAAGCAGGGGTGCTTCTACGAAGCCTTCCACCATTCTCCCTATCCCCCTCTGCGCGTGGCCGAGGATCTTGTGATCGGGTTCGCATTCAGCCACCGAGCTTTTTCATTGCTCCCTCCTCCGCCTCGTCCCTACTCAGGCTTCCAGAGGCCTCTGGGCACTCCGCAGCCTTCCGGAGGGGGGAGGAAGGTAGAAGCGAGGCTCAGTAGGCATGTCTCTTCGGAGCGGTTTGCGGTGTTCCCCTTCCCTTCTGTGCGGGCTTTGGGGTAGGCTTCAAAGGCTTGGGGGGAAGGGGGCCGGAGGAGGAGAAGGAGGAGGAGGAGGCGGAGGAAGGGAGGGGGAGGAGGAGGAGGAGGAGGAGGAGGAGGAGGAGGAGGAGGAGGAGAAGGAGGAGGGCGAGGAGGAGAAGGAGGAGGAGGAGGAGAAGGACGAAAAGGAAAAGGTGGAGCAGGAGCAGGAGCAGGTGCAGGAGCAGGTGCAGGAGCAGGAGCACGAGAAGGAGCAGGAGCAAGAGCAGGAGCAGCAGCAGGAGGTGGAATAAGTTCAGAAGGAAGAGGAGGAGGAAAAGGAGGAGGAGGAAGAGCAGCAGGAGGAGGAGGAGGAGGAGGAGGAGGAGGAGGAGCAGCAAGATGAGGAGGAGGAGGAGGAGGAGGAGGAGGGCGGGCGCCCAGGCGTGCCCTCGCAGCAGCGCCCCGGAACGCCGCCCCGCTCGAGAAGCGCGGCGCCGCCGCTCGAGTGCCCACTCGAGGCGCACGCGAGGAGTGGTGGGGAGGGCGGCGCGTCCCCCTGCTCCTCCTCCGCCTCATCCGCCTCCGCCTCTTCCCCGTGTGATTATCTATCCTCTTCTTCCTCCAATCATTGTTTCCCGTCCTCCTCCTTGTCACCATGCTTTTGTTATTTCTCCTCGTCCTCTTTCTAATGTTCCTCATCCTCATCATCCTGCTCTTGCGATTCCTCCTTATCCTGACCCTCATTGTACTATTCCTCCTCCTCCTCCTCCTCCTTCTCTTCCTTCTCCTCCAAATCATCGTCATCCCGCTCTTGTTTCTCCTCCTCCTCCTCCTCCTCCTCCTCCTTCTCCTCACCCCCCTCTTAGTATTCCTCCTCACGTTCCTCATTTTCATCCTCGTATGGCCCGCCTCCTCCTCTTTTGTTCCTCCTCCTTGTCCTCCTCGTAGTATTCCTCCTCATGTTTCTTTGCAACATCTCGGGCCCCCTGCCTGAGGGCAATGCAAACCTTCTTCCTCTCCGCTCGCATTCTCTTTGTAGCCGTTTTGGCTCAAGTAAACCATTTGTGCAAGGCAGCAGGCCAGGTCAGCCGCGGAGCCCCGCGGCAGCCCACACCAGGCCGTGGGCTTCCCGCTCTTTGCGCATTTCCATTGTTCCCCCGATATTGAGTCACAGAGTTGACTTTCCTCGTTTGGTGGCGAGGGTGGCACATGCCGAGTGGTGCGACATCCGCCTCTCGCAGCGAACGCAGTGGCTCCCAAAGGAGACGCTGCCCTCGCCACGACAAACGAGAAGAACGACGACGTGACCGACGGCGCGACCGTTCCCGCGGTCCAGTGAAGGCACCCCGCGGGCGGACAGCCCGAGGGACTAAGCCCGGCATCGCCATATTCCTATTCCTGTCGATGGCGGTTACCGAGGCCCTGGCGCTGCAGACCCCCTCACCTTCGCAGCGCATGTATGTCGCGAGAGGAACGGGACCGCCTTGCCGCCGCGATTGGCTTGGCACCTACGTTCCCTGACCACGAACGCCCGCAGGCACGTGATGGCGGACACTGACCGACCAGATCCATTTCATGGGGCGGGTGACCCTTGACGCCATCGTCAGCTACTTCGGCCTGAAGCTCTCAACGGCGGAGGGTATCAAAGCGGCGGTTAACGCAGCCGTTCAACAACAGCTTGGGGGGATGCGCGCGAAAGACGCTCTACCATGGGCACTACGCACACCAACATACGGGACACGGTGCTCGACTTCCTACGCCCGCAGGCCGCGAGGCTGGACGCTCACGACTCGCACATCAGAAAGCTCCAGGACAAGACTGACAGCATGGCCCAGGACCAACGAGAGCTTCGGCAAGGCATGGACGCTGCGCAGCGTTCTCTGGCACAGGCGCAGACAGCCAAGGACACTGCCATCGACGTGGGCAGGCTCGCCACGCACGACCCGCCGCCCGAGCCGAGCGTTTTCCGCATCGGCTGCGCCCAGCCCGCTGTTTTCTCTGAGATTGAGCTCGCCATCGCGGACAGGATCAAGGACGCTGGTCTCGACAGCAACCAGTATGCGCTTCATTGCGATTATCATGGCAAGCTTTTTCGTCGGCACCTACTTGGCGCAGCCGCTGGCGTGGCCCGAGCAGTCCGCCATTGCCCGCATCTCCAGCTCCTTGGCGGCGGCCGGCGGCGGTCCACGGCGAAGTCGGTCACAGGTGCCCAGGACGCGCCCTACATCGACCCTGACAAGAGCCCCAAGCAAGTTCGACGAGAGGTTCATGGGGGGCGGCCCCTCGGCATCCTGCAGCGCACCTACAGGGGCCGCGACTGGAGGTTGCTCCGCGCGAAGGGCACCATCAGCATCGACGGTGCGCCGATTGCGCGTGGATGAGCCCACCAGACTGGCCGCCGCCGAGCACAACGTCGACATCCAGGGCACCTGTGCGCAGTTCAAGCAACAGCTCCAAAGCGTGGACACTTCAGCATGGGCGCTATCCTACCAGGTGCTTCCAGCCATGGGAGATTGGCAATGGCGGCCAACGCGGTCTACCAGTTGCCTCTTGGCACGCACGCGGCCTTTGCTGCTGGGGCCACTAGCTTCGCCGGCAGAAGATGGGCAATCTCAAACAGCTTCTCGCTCAGCGACATCTGGTTCTTCTCCAAGAGGTGCACGGCAACGAGATGATGCTCGCCGCGCTCCTGGACCAACTGCCCCTGCGCTACATGCTCTTCTACTCAGGTTACCCAGCCAGCCGATAAGGGCCCGCTCGTGGAAATGATCCACGCGCGGGTGGAGTAGCTACCATCGCCCACTGGCATGCGCCGCACCATATTCAACAGCTACATGTAGACGCACCTCCTCAATCTCAGCACACGGTCACTGCTCGCGGGCGCACCCGCGCGCTTGAGATCACGCGGAAGGACGGCCACGCCATGCGCACTATCAACCACCACGACGACAGCATCGACACGAATCCCCGATGCACTATTCGACAGAATTGGAGTCGGAACCTGGCATGGGCCCGTCCAAATGAGATGACCAGATTAGCGGTCTGCGCAGGCGATTTCAACGTCAACAACTCCACGAGCCTGTCCTGGCTCTTCCCTCGGCGACGACAAGCTGCGCGATCTCAAGATGGCAGGGGAAGATAGAGCGCCCCCTTCCCCACGCACTTCGACAGGTCCTCGCACTCGCTTATCGCGATCGACCGCGTCTTCATCTCGCCGAGCACCCGCTTCATCGCCGATTGCGACACCACGCTCGAACATCCTTCAGGATGCTGGCAAGCTGGGTGACTATGCGCTCTCAGACCACGCGATTGTCGTCCCCCACCTGCAACCCGAGCTGCCGCCGCCGAATGATCTCCAGATCACATCGAGCCACCTCTTTCGCAACGCCCGCTTCAAGGAGCGCTGGCCGAACTGCGTTGGCTGCGCTGACTTGAGATGAAAGTCGACGTGGCCATCTTCCTGATGGCTCTGCAGTCTCGCGGCGATCACCTGCTGACGCTGGGGTGGTCGAGATTGAATGCGCGGCGCAATGGGCCGTTGCTGGAGCTGTCTGGCGCCGGGGCGCCCGACTCTCCCAGCGATTGCGAGGGTCATCGGCTCTAGCGCGACGTTTCTTGGATCTCACGGATGGCGGCGCGGCATTCATCGCGAGCGCGGACTCCTTCCGAGCCTGCTCGACGGACTGCGACCAGCGCCGTTTTGATTCCTCGGATAGCAAGCCGCGCGCGTTGGGCGCCGCCGTCGGCGAGCTCCACAGGGCGGTCACTTTCCCGCTGAAAGCCCCAGAACACATCGAGGTCCAGGCGACCAGCGCGCGGCAGGCTTCGGCGCGGGACCCGACTCGGCGTCGGTTGGCCCTGCGTGGCATAAAGCACGCGCAGCCGGCAGACTGCGCCATCATCAGGGGCCCCTTTCGACACGGCGACGGTGATTCGCGAGCACTGGGTGCCTGTCTTCTCGGAGGCCACATGCAGCGAACAGGCCGCCGCTGACTGCCTCGATTTCCACCCGCCCTCCTCCCCCTCTGCTGGCCCCCCTCTCCCCGGCCCGGGGGACCTCGCCAGAGCTTTGCGGCGCCGAAGGTCATCCCCCCCCGGGCCCCGATCGGTTGCCCCATGGGGCTTGGCGGGCCGCGTCAGCCGCAGCGGACATCCTCTATGACGTGTTGTTGTGGTTATTTCCGGGCGGGGGTTTTATCGAAGGTTTGAACAAGTCGAATGCTGCCTCCATCCCCAAAGGTGAAGAGCATCAAGGTCTCGCTGATTGCGTGGGTGGCGCGGCCGCGATCAGGCCATTGAAATGCAAGAGCCGGGCATCAAGGCCCTCGCCCAAACCGTCAACAAACATTCAGCAACGTAGCCAAGCAGCGAGTTCAGAGCGTTCACCAGGGTTTTGTTGGGGGGCGAAGTTTTGGAGCCCACAGTATAAACCTGGATGCCAAGACCCGTTTGAACAGCATGGGTGCCGACGCTTCTCCTCGGCGCCCATGTTTATTTAATTTAGTTGCATGTCGAATCTGCTTTCCCAAGCATGTCTCAACTGTGGCTAAGGGACGTGCCGCGGCGGTCCAGTTTTCCTCGAGGCTACCTCAGCGCGATCCACGCTTTATCCGAGGGTTCCGAGGGCTGTTTGAATGTTGGGTCCCAACGGATCCGCCTGTTTTCGGTTTGCCGCGGAGCCCCCCAGGGTTGCCCGCTTTCTGGAACTCTCTGGGTCCGAGGGATGGACCCGCTGGTTCGGCATCTGGCCCAGGCGCGCGAGGCTGCCTCCCGCTCGGTTGCCCCGCCCGTTCCTGCCGGGGGATCGACCGAGGAACGTAACGGTTTAGTTCTCCCTGCCCTCACCGCCACTACGGGTGCGCGTGCTGACGATGTCGGTGTCCCCCATCCCTCTCTCTCCTTTCCCCCAGTCGTCGTGCCACCTTTCCTCGTTGTGGCGGGGTTCGCGATGCTCAAGCTCCAACCCAATAAGTGCTGTCTCGTGCCCATGCGGGCCATTTTGGGTTAAAGGGAACAAGAGGCCGTTCGTGAAACGATCCGCGGAGTAGCTTCGCAATGGGCCGAGCTATTCGATATGTTGTTCTTGCCGACGCCTCGGTTTTCAGATCGGACGTGGCGCCGCCGAGGAAGACCAGTCCCTAGCGAATGGCTACAAATAGTGGTCGCGTGGGCGCGCGGTCGCGGCAACCCGCGCGCCTGCCGACCAATGTTTTCGGCTCTAAAAAATCATCATCCTTCCCTGTGCCTCGTACCTTTGTCAGTTTTTCTCCTTCCCTTACCCTGCTCTACAAAGAGCTGCTGGCGTTGCACAAACGTGAGGGTCCGCTCGCCCGACCCGCCCGTGAGGCTTCGCCCGCCCGGCCCGCCCGTTCGGGTCAGTCCGCCCGACCTGCTCGTGCCCAGCCAGGGTTTACCCGGGAACTGGCTTCAAAAATGAAGCCCCGAAGCAGGGGGTACGTATATACACGAGGATGGTGGGAGCCGAGGGTTCGGGGTATACGTGTTGAGTGGTACGTGGGCAACGAAGAGCGAACATAATTGAAATGTGAGTCGGTGTTGCTTTGGGGCGTCGGTCTAAGCACGGCTTATGTTATGTGATCGTTTTGCCGATCGGCGCAGGCCTTCGCACCCCTTCCTCCCCCCCCATGGAGTAGATCTTGGCAGTTTTTGGCGCCTGTCTCAAGCAGGTGAGGTCTCCCCCACGGGACGCACTGTTGCAAACAGTCGCGTTAAGCAGAGATCTGGAGCGAGACACCCCCCCTTCCCTGCCCCCTTCCGCCCAATGTCGAAACACCGAATAAGAAAACGCTCATTTCGTTATCGGCTAACTACCGTCCAGTCCTAATCGAATCAATTTGGGGTTGTTGATTCGATCGCGTCTGATCGCTTCGAGCATTGGCTCAATCCACGGTTCATTGCCCGACGACGGGCTACTGTCTGAGAGTGATGCGGGTTGCGCCCCAGACCCCAGGGGTTTCGTTCGATCGAGTATGATCTTGCCAGTTGCACCTTCCCTGACGTCCCTTAAATCGGCGATCGATGTTCGACCCAGACCCCTGCTGCCGTCCCCCGCTCCAGGCGCCAGGTGCGGGGTACGGATAAACGAAGTGGCCTCGGAGGCCAGAATTCTGTCCAGGTCCCCGCTGTGGCGTTACGTCGGGCGCGTCCCTTCTACAGGAGGAATATTCGCACATAGCTTTCGCGTGTAAAAACAAATCATCCCAGTGCGACCCGACCTAGGAGTTGGAGCATTCAGGAACGCAGCATCTACATCTACATCGACAGCTACAGTTACATCTACACCTGCATCTACATCTACATCAACATCAACAGCGAGACTCACATCTACATCTACACCTACGCCTACACCTACATCTACACCTACATCTACATCTACACCTACATCCACATCTACACCTACACCTACATCTACATCTACATCTACAATTTCGCAGTGGCTTAGCTGTTGCTTTGCATTGCCGTTGCTTGTGTTATTGCCTTTGGTTATGCCTTTGGTGTTGCTATGCTATGCTGCGCTGTGCTATGCTATGCTATGCTGCGTTGTGCTGTGCTGAACAATGCTAATGCTATGCTATGCTATGCTATGCTGCGCTATGCTATGTTATGATGAGCTGTGCTATGTTATGATTGGCTATGTTATGCTGTGCTATGCTGTGCTAATGCTGCGCTAAGCTAAGCCAAGCTAAGTTAAGCTAAGCTAAGCTAAGATGAGATCAGCTAAGCTAATCTAATCTAAGCTAGGCTAGGCTAAGCCAAGCTAAGCTAAGCTAAGCTAGGCTAGGCTAGGCGAAGCTAAGCTAAGCTTAGCTAAGCTAGGCTGGATGAACCCAGGGGGCGCAACTGGGGGAACCGCGGGGCGGATACTGGGGGAACCGCCCGGGCCGGGTTACACTGCCCGGCCCTTTAAGCACACCGAGTAAGAACCCTTCTAGGCAGAGCCTAGGTAGGGGAAAAAGTCTGGGGACGATCCTTCGACTGTTCTTGACTATGCTTGAGTCTTTTTGGGGATACTTTTGACCCGTCGTCCACACTCCCCCTGTAGGAGGACACGACCGACCGAACTCTGGCGCCTCCTGGGGGTGTCGGGGCGTAGGATTGCAAAAAAGGATTGCAAAAAAAGGATTGCAACAAAAAGGATTGCAACAAAAAGGATTGCAAAAAAAAAGAAGGATTGCAAAAAAACGAAGGATTGAGCGAAGGATTGAGGTTTTTTTGCAATCCTTTGAGCAGGGGCACGGATGGCATGCCGAGCGCGCCCCTCGGAGGCCAGCGAGCTGCGACGCCGGGGGGCAGGAGCGCGGCGGCCGCAGTCCGCGCACCGGCTGCCGGCCTCGGCAGGAGAGGGAGCCGAGGCCGTCCTTCGTCAAGGGCTCCCACGAGGGCGCGAAGTTATTCGCGCTTCGCGCTTCGCGGTCCTCGTTCCTTCTCCTCCTCCTCGTCCTCCTATTCTCCCTTTGGGAGGGCGGCGCGAGAGCGCGAAGTTATTCGCGCTTCGCGCTTCGCGCAGCGCGAAGCGCGAAGTTGGGAGCCCTAGTTCGTGGACGAACGACGAACGATGACGACGACGACGACGACGACGACGGAGCGGGCAGTCTGGCCCCCACCCCTCATTGCCCCCCTCGGCCTCAACGCCGTCAAAGGGGGGAGGCTTCAGCAGCAGTGCGGCCAGAACTGTGGCCAGCCGCACGGCGAGTCGTACGATCATCCCTATGTCCACGGGGACTACTACGACCAAGGACGCGGGAAGTCGGATTTCAGTCGCACAGTGATCGGTATGTTTGTCGTGGAGTTGCATGACTTGTTGCCAAGATGTTGCAGCAACACTTTCGTGGTTCGCGCATGCCTCGGGGGCGTCGTCGGTGCAGCAGGGGCCTTCTCGGCGCCCGAAAGATGCACTGAGGGCATGCTTTCGAGCGGTGCCATTGCATGCTCGGGGTGAGGTATTGAAAGAGGGGCATGCAGAGAAAGAGAGGCGGAAGAGTAATCATACAGTGGGGGGCCATGCCAAGAAACAACTTGCTTGCCTCCAGGGTGCCCTGGGTTTCTTGGGTTTCCATGGTTTTGCGATGGAAGGCATGGCGTTCCCACACCAAACATCAATGGACGTCCTGGGGTCTCAGGGTTGGGCTTCTTGTGGAAGGCTTTTTGTGGGCTGGCCTCCACTGCAACGCGGCATAGTGGCGCGCCGTGTTGCGAGTTTCTATCAGGTCCCGGGCGAAAGCAAGGCCAGAATATTGCCTTCGGCAGAATTGTTTTGAGTCTTGAGGAGAATGAAGAGGAGGAAGAGAAGGAGGAAAAGGAGGAGGAGAAGGAGGAGGAGCGAGGAGCGAGGAGGAGGCGAGGAGACAGAGGCAGAATAAGGAAGCGAAGGAGGAGGAGGAAGAGGAGGAGGAGGAGGAGGAGGAGGAGGAGGAGGAGGAGGAGGCGGGAGAGCACGAGAAGGGGCGAAGGCCGAAGAGCCAAGGCCGAGGGACGAGGAGGAAGAGCGAAGAGGAGGACCGAGATCTCACCCCCTCCCCCCTCCTCCTCCTCCTCATTCTCCTCCTCATCCACCTCCTTCTCCTCATTCTCTTCATTCTCCTACTCCTACTCCTACTCCTACTCCTCCTCCTCCTCACCCTCCGCACTCTCCTCATTATCCTCCTCCTCCTTCTCCCACCTCCTCCTCCTCCTCAACCTCCTCCTCCTCCACCTCCTCCTCCTGTCATCATCATCATCCTCATCATCATCCTCATCATCATCATCATCACCATCATCAGCATCATCAGCAGCATCAGCATCAGCATCAGCATCAGCATCAGCATCATCATCATCATCATCAGCACATCATCATCATCATCATCATCATCATCATCATCATCATCATCATCATCATCATCATCATCATCATCATCACCATCATCGTCATCATCATCATAATCTCCTCTTCCTCCTCCTCCTCTTCCTCCTCTTCCTCGTCCTCCTTATTCTCCTCCTTCTTCCCCTTCTCCTCCTCCTCCTCCTCCTCCTCCTCCTCCTCCTCCTCCTCCTCCTCCTCCTCGTCCTCCTCCCGTTCCTCGTCTCGCAGGCCCGTACGCGGTGCCTGGGGATTTGGACCCCTTCTCGCAGACCAGTTTTTCCCGTCCCGCACCCTTTTTCTTCTGACAGTCCCTGGGCGGCCCGGCGAGGGCCCCCAGACGCCGCACACTACGACAGGCCTCTGTCTTGATGTGTGTCGTTACGTTGGAGGTCTCGGAAGGGGGGAGATTCCTCGCAGCCCTTGCCGGGGAGGTGCCGTGCCCCGGTCTCCTCGCAGCTCCGGCCGCTACGACCTCACGCTCGGCGCCGGGGACCGCAGTCCCCGAGGCTCGGGCCGCGCAGCTTTGTGCACCGTCCAGGGAGGGCGACAGGGCTCACGCGATCCAGACATAAATCGGGCATGTCCCTTCAAAAATACTCAAATAGTAGTTGGCGGATGATTATTTGACTATGTTTGGTCGTTTTCAGTTTTTGTTTGACTGTCTTGCGTTTTTCGCTCAAAATCCGCCTGCAGGAGGACATGCCCGACCTACAGGAAGGGCGACAGGGCTTACATAACCCGGACACATGTTCGCGTCGTGAGGAAAAAACACGGCGGAAGGTTTTTGGTCGTTTTCGGATTCTGCGGGCTTTCGCTGGGCCCTAGGAGTGAAATGGAACGACTCGGAATGAAAATCTGGCCTTGGGGACAGGGTGGGGTTTTCCAGGAAGGCCCTTACAACAAGTCGAGGTAGCGGGTATTCGATTTTTTTCACACCGGACTTCTTCGCCCGGTTTCGGGCCCCAGGGCCATCACAAGTCGCTCGGGCCAGAAAAATGTCGAAGGAAGATGAGGTCTAAGGCTCTGGTTGTAAGTTCTTGCGATGTTTCAATGTTTTTGGAAGGTCGGATCTCAGGGGAGCGCAGAGTGCTGTCGAAGGATCGTCATAAGCATGCACCTTCAAAGGTCCCCGCGGAGTTGTTGGAACGGCGTTGGCTTCCCCTGGCGGCGCCTCTGGCGCCACCCCTGGCGCACGCCGGTCCAAGAAATCCGAGTGAAGTTTCGAAAGTTCATGTTTTTGCAACTGGCTTGTCTTCTTCAAGTTTGCGTAAGCACAACCCACTTTGGGCTCAGGAGGGGCTCGGGGCTTCAGGACGCTTTTCAGATCCAGGTCGTGGAACCGATTCGTCGCCAAAAAAGCCCATTCGCTCCTTTTTCAGCGTGCCTTATGAAGCACGATGAATGTAGTCTTGGCTGGCCCCATGAGGACTTCAAGGTATCCCACGGCAGGCTCAACGCCCAGCGACGCTCCCCCGGGGCGTTCCGCGCCCAGAGGTTGGGGTGGTGAGGGCTTGTTGTTGAGGCCATCTGGGACCGCTTGCCAGATCTGCTGGTGCGCAACCCAAGCCTCAAGAGGACAGCATGAGATCTGGGGCCAGAGGAAGTTTAGAATGCACGGCTGCACTCCCGCGAAGAAGTTCCCAAAGGCACGAGAGAAGCTGGGACCAATCGTGGCAGCTGCAAGGTGCCCATCGGTGAAAAATACCCATACGTAGAGCAGGACGTGCAGGTATGATTGTGGGACATGGAGCCATGAGTGTACCAACTCTATGTGTGGAGACTGAAGGCCGCTTGACAACTTCGCCGTGCTTGCACTGGCAAATTGAACCTACAGTTTCGAGACATGCATCATTAGGGCTTATGGTTGATACTGTAGCTATCCGGGGTGTGCGGCTTTGGAATAATCTATTGCGACAGGCTGCCTGGGGCCCCACACGCCGAGAGGAGGACGGTCTGGGCTCCGAGAGATCTTCGGATGGCTCCGGCGCGCCGGTGGATTGCCCACAAGAGTTCAGGGTAGCTAAACGGAAGCCAAGGTTAGATATGGATCGACGTCCAAACCCTTCTGAGTCATGACGTCATGGCCCCGTCCATCCGACATTGGCGTGCCTGTGCCGCTACACATGGCGTCAGTTAAGCTCGCTACATGGTCACGTACCTGTTGGGAGGCGATCACGTAAGTATGTGCATGTGTGTGTGCGCGTGTGTGTGTGTGTACTGTGTATATGAGTGCGTCTGAGGTGTGTTTGTGTGCGTTTGCGTGTGATTGTATGTGCGTGTGCGTGTGCGTGTGCGTGTGCGTGTGTTTGTGTGTGTTTGTTGTGTGTTTGTTGTGTGTTGCGTGTGTGTGTCTATTTGTGTGTCTGTGTGTCTGTTTGTGTCCGTGAGTGTGTGTGTGTGTGTGGGTGTGTGTCTGTTTGTGTCTGTGCGTGTCTGTGTTTGTGCAGCTGTATCTTTATGTGTATGTATATATATATATATGTGTGTCTACGTGTGTGTCTGTCTGTGTGTCCGTGTGTGTGTCTGTTTGTGTGTGTCTGCGTGTGTCTGTGTGTGTGTCTGTGTGTGTATGTGTCTGTGTGTGTCTATGTGTGCCTGTGTGTGTCGGTCTGTCTGTCTGTCTGTCTGTCTGTCTGTCTGTGTGTGTGCGTGCGTTCTGCCTGCGTGCGTGCGTGCGTGCGTGAGTTTGTGTGGTTGTTTGTGTATGCGCGTACGCTCTTCGCTGGCACACCACAAACTTATTTGCCATTGCTCTTGCATTGTGCTCAGTGCACCATGCTATATGCGTGACGCATCTGCACGTGATTGCACGCATGCGCGTGTGCGAACGCATACTCTCATGCGTACCTGCTCGCGTGGAAGTGATGGTTACACATCCCCTGTGTGCGCATGGTTCCAATGCGTTTGCTTTTGCATTGTGCACATGCGTGAATAGACTTGCCTGGGAATGGCCCGTTGATCCCAATACGTTTCCATACAGAGCATGCGTTCACAAACGTTGTTGACTTGTCATCAAGATCTTGGTGGATGTTTCCTTGTGTATGTATCATTCCTGGGATCGTTAGTTGTCTACCCGGCTGCCCTCGCAGAGGCCTTCCGCGGCGAGCAACTTCTCCGTGGCGCGTATGCATGTAGGTAGCTTTGAGACGCCCGCGTTTCGTTTTGACGAGAATGTCGGCAGGTAATTAGTAACCATCTCACGGTGTAATCCGCCTCTCCTTACATTTGGGTCATGTGGGAGGTGTTATTGAGGAGAGCTTCCAGCTAGACCCTGAGCTTCCCAGGTGGATATTGAAGGGGTTGTGGACAGGAATGCCCCCATACTACAATTTCACGCTTCCCTCCATTAAATGACAAGCACTGCGAAACGATCGAACGATGTTGCTCAGGATTGGTTTTAAGCGGTTCGCGTGAAGCAGGCATTAAACATGATAGTTTCGTTTGCCAGCAGGTGCCCCACGGAAGTGTCTGATCCTTGATGGCTTTATGGGCCAATGCCATAGGACACCCCAGGAAGTTCGAAGTTGGTCGACGAGTGTACACACATCTAGATTTCTAATAGCAAGATGTCTTGCCGTGTGCCTGCTGTACCCTCATCAGCCCATCCAGCTACCAGTGTGTCGCTCACCTCTTGTGTGGTCTGACGTTGAATCCCAGTGCCTGGTGTGGTCCTGTGCCGTCGGGGCGCGCGCGATCGAATACGAAGTGTCATATCTGCCCATCTGATCTTCTTTGGTGATCGACTTGATGCAACCTGGTTGCGGTCGCGTGGGCTCGAAATTTTGGCAATATAAGGAAGTGTTTTATTCATATGACTCTTTCTTCTCGTCCTCTTCATCGCAATGCTCGGCGTCGCACTCTTCGTCGGTCTCCGCTGGTCCGCCGTCGATCCATCATCCTTTTTCGCTCCTGCGTCCGATTTCTCATGTTCCACTTCTCTGTCGATAGTGCGAAGGCCTTACGGCCAGTGCCGCCGACCCTGAAGGGAGACGACGATGACGACGACGACGCTGACGTGGGTCAAAGTCCTGAGGGACGATTCTGGGGGTATCTTCGGACGGCTCTCGGGGGCCTGTAGGGAGGAATGTGGGGACCTCTTGGGAGCCTCGTGGGAGCCTTCTGGGGGCCTCTTGTGGGCCTTCAGTGCTGCCTGGGGGCTTCTTGGGGGCGTCTAGGAGGCCTCTTTGGGCCTCCTGAGAGTTTCTGGGGGGCGAGGGGTCTAAATGTTCCTTCGGGTCCCCCGTCTGGGCACGCTCTTGTAGCCGTCTTAGGGGAACTCTTGGGCCGTCTTGGAGTCGTTTTGGGTTGTCTTCTAGGAGCCGTTTGGGCTGTTTTGGGGTCCTCTTGGAGGACGTTGGGCCATCTTGGGGCGATCTTGGGGGCCTCTTGCGCCGTCCTGGAGCGGCGGGAAGTGGAAGAGGTGAGAACGCCAACATGTTTCAAACACCTAAGGGGAACTTATGAATGTTGCCTTTGGGGGCCTTCTTGGGAGTGGTTCTGGAGGGCTCTTGGGGCGTTTTGCAGGCCTCATGGGCCGTCTGGAGGCCGTCAAGGCGTCTTGAACAGATGATTCGGCGATTCGGGGCTCTCTTGGACCATCTTGGGGGCAGCTTCGGGCACTCTTGGCCCGTCCTGGCGCTTGTTTGAGAACCGGGGGTGGTGACCCCCCGGGACCCCCCCCCGACGGGGGAGGGATCAAAGGAAAGGGACTTTGTTTCGACTCGATTGCGACATTGCTAGATCTTTCCTCTCACTGACAAGCTTGAGGAGGTGAAAGGGGGACGACGGAGACGACGACTGACGGAGACGACGACTCGAACAGACGAGCCCCTCACACATGCCGACAGGGTCGGCGGTGTTGGCGAGGTCTGACGGCTGGTTCCGCCGACGTCGAAGGGGATCAGGTGATGGGCCCTTTTCCACCACCTTTAAGTACCATAGGCAAGAGAGGAAGGAGGAGGAGGAGGAGGTGGAGGAGGAGGAGGACCTCCTCATCCTCCCTTCTCGCCCCTCCTGCACATGGCAGCGGCTGGAGAACCAGTGCTTCAAAGATGGGGTCCTGGGGGAAGGGGCCCTAAGGATGGAAAGGGATCCAAGGGAAGATATTCCCCAATCAGGGCTTGCACTGCAGGGGTCCTAGCGAAAATGGAAAGATTTGGCGAAACTGTCCCGCCGATTTTGGTGGCCGGCTGGGTTCCTGGGTTCCCGGTTTTGGGTTCCCGGGTTCCTGGTCATGATTCCGGGCCGATCTCGGTGGGTTCAAGGTTCCCGGGTTCCCGGGTTCCCGGTCGATCTCCTTATCGATCAAACCATCCATTAATTGGGGTCCTGAGGCCCGTGCGCTTTTCCTCGGTAATCAATACACGGGCGCCTCTGGGCGCTGGGTGGCGCCTTTGACAAATCAGATAACTACGTGAACTCATTCGCCATCCCCCGCTTGACTACCTATACCCCTTCGTCTGATCCGAGAGGCGTCCCGTCGCCACAACTGGAAATCCGCCTCGGACCACGGGACAGGAGGGACCGCGGCAGGGGTCAAGGGGCCGAGTTTGGGCGGGCTGAGGCCGGGCGGGATCTGGGGCGCTGACAGAGGGTCGGTGGTTCAAAGTTGGGGTCCTCCTAAGGATGGGAAGGGATCCAAGGGTACGGTAGGTTCGTGTAGCGATGGCGCGCCGGCGACACCGGCGAAGACGTTCAAGGTTGAGGTCCGCACGGTAGAACGACGCGGAAGCACCGAGGACACGGTAACGCCGTAGGACCTGACGGGATTCAACCTTGAACGATCGGGGCCGCGATCGGTTCAAGGTTGAACGATCAAGAACTTTCGCGTTCGTCGACGCCGCGCGAACCTACCGTAGATGTACGTTGTTTGACGCTCCTCGAACTTAAGACCCCATCCCCCAGGACCCCTTCTTTGAAGCACCGAGCGAAGAGACAGACGCCGTGCCATCTCTATCTAGGTGGATGTCTATCTAATGATGTTCCAACCGACTCGAGCCTTGGTCACCTGAAAGAATTCCGAGCAGCCAGAAAGCACTTACACTGGAGGTATTCACGTGTCGGGCCCTGGGAGGCGAGACTTGTTCGACACTGTTTCGATACCTTCCTGGGTGCTCGAAAGTAATTCTGGGATGTGGTCCTTAATTGCCATGGGATCAACATAAGCCTCGTGACTGGAGGACAGACGCCGTGCCATCTCTACCTAGTCGGATGGCTTTCGGCTTGGGGTCGTGGACCAGATGCTTCCAGAATGCACATAATGGTCTCTTGGGGTGCCTCTTCGGAGGCCTCTCGAAGGGCCCTCGGGGGCTCTCTCGAGGGCTCTTGGGGCCCTCCTAGGGGCCTCTTTGGGGCCTCTGCGGACCTCTTAGATGCCTGCTGGCGGTCTCAGTGGTCATCTTTGGGCGGAAGGCTCGGAAAGTCAATTCGTGTTCCCCCTCTTGGGGCCCCATTGGGCCCTCTCGTGGCCCTCTTTCGGCCACGCGCAGAGGGGTGTGTGGGCAGGGGGGAGGGCTTCTTGGAAGCACCCCTGCTTCTTATTAGAATGCGCGGGCCTTATTTATAGATGTAAGGCCGGCGCCTTCTAAGAAGCAGCCACCTTCTAAGAGGCCCTCCCTCCTCCCTCCACCCCCCTCGTGCGCGCCGCCAACGCTTGGGCAGTCTTGGTGCCTTCTTCGGGGCCCCTTGGGTTATCTCGGGCTAATATTTGGGGCCTGGGCATGCCGGGCCGTCTTGAGGTGCTGCAAGGCCGAAGCGGCGAATACGGTAAAATATTGCAGCATGAGCAAATCGACCCCTAAGGAAATGTAGAATACATGTTAGGTTGGGCATGTCCCCTTACAGGCAGATTTTGGAGGACAAATAACAGATATTTCAATAACCGTTTTCCAATACTTCGTCCCCAGATTATGTTCTAACTATTTTTGAACATTCCTCCTGTAGAGGGACACGTCCGATTTAAGATTAATGGTGTTTGCCTTTGCCTCTTCGGGCCCTCGTGGGGTCCTCTTGGGACCCTCTCGGGCCGTCTTGGAGGCGTCTTGGGTTGTCTTTGAGGGGCGGCGACGAGGACGAGTGAGAGGGAGGGTGAGGAGTGAGGATAACGTGGCGCAGAAAGGAGGGGCCCCCGTGGTACTCGGGAGTGGATGTTTGGGGGGGGCTCACACGTGCCCCCCCCCCTGGGGACCCCCCATCCACACCCAGTGGGGAATGGATGCAGGGCTGGGAAGGGGCTCCTGTTTCGAGATGAATTTGTGATGCACGGAAGTGGCTAGTCCATTCCAACATTGTGTGGCTCGGACGGGCCATGGGTTACGCGAGAGTTTCGCTCGACAAGCTCCGGCAGGCCTCACTCACGCCGACTCAGTCGACGGATTTCCAGGTGTGAGCCCCCTGTTGCCACCTAATTGTCTACAATCCACTGGATGGTGCGGGGAATTGCGGACACAGCGGTGGCTTGGTTTCATACGATATGCTCGTTAGGGCGTTTTTTTCGTTACGTCTTGGTTTGTTTGTGAGTGGTCTTTTTTTGGCTGGCCGTATCTTCTGGTCCCGCTTGGCACTGTAGTCAGAGTGAGGGGACCGACAGGTCATCCATTGTCCTTGGGTGCGTGGCTGAATAGAGAACTCGTGGTGAGAATTCTGCTTGTTGCGTTGTTGTTGTCGCTGTTGTTGTTGTCGTCGCTGGATTTTCATTCTTGAATAATAATTATTGTTAATCCCCTCCCACCGGTGCAGATTGTTTTTTCTCAATCAAAGTGTGCCCCTCGACGCTCGCACCCTGTTTTTTTGAATGGGGAAGTCTTAATGCTCAAACTGTGCCCCTGGCCCCCGGGTTACAACAACAACGGCTCCCGCTTGAGACCTCCTCACAATTTAGGCAGGACCCCCGCTCCCGCCCGAGACTTTCTCGTATTTTATGCAGGAATCGCGCTCTCGCTTGGGACTTCCTTACAATTTATTCAGGAATCGTTCTCCCGGCGCTCTGGAGTCGCGCTCTCGCTGGAGGCTTCCTTGCAATTTACTGACGAATAGCGCCCTTGCGTAGGAATTTCTTGCAATTTACTTAAGCGCCGCGCTCCCGACACCCAGGCACCTAGGAGTCGCGCTTACGCTTAGGATTCCTTGACAGATTA